AAGCCATGATGATTACCTTCACCGCGGGGCAGGAAGTAATGCAGCAATTTATGTACTAACTAATTATCTCTTTTATTTGACTTATATGGTTTAAGGGTTTAATTTATATGCAGATATATAAAGTCATTTGTTAGCGCTCCTTGAAAGAAATTTTAATCTATTACAATCTCTCAGATAAGTATTTACTATAAAATTAATTAATTTAATAAAATTAATTATCTGGACTTTTAGGACTGATTAAAAATTGCTTTGTCTGTTTAAATTAAAAGACTCAATGGAAATATTTAGTCTTTAGTATTTCTTAAGACTCAATTTCCTAAATAATACACATAATACATTCTTCCGTATTGCCCAGACTTTAAAAGTATGTTTATAGTTTTATGCGAGTAGCAAGACCAGCAAAAAAACTTTAGACACGTAAAACCTGCTTCATAGCAGCATTCGGTATTGCACTTTTCGGATTTCTTATGTGTAAGCCAAGAGTTACAGGCTCCGTGAACCGCGTGTTCAAAACCACTTGCCATCGCGTGAAATTGTATACAATATGTATATAATACATGTTAAAAACTAGGATAGAATAAGCCGTCTCGCTACCCCGTTAAGTTTAAAAGAAATTAATACGACCCTTCCAACGGATTTGTCTTTATCCTAAGCAGGCAGTTACATACGAGCTTACCACTACACACGCGGCCTACGTTATCGCTGTTGCCACGAACGTGCAACCGTCCGGGTAAGTACCTCATAGAAGATCGGCGCGAAGTGGAAGTGTTATATTTCTGCGTTTCGTCCGGTGAGTGAGGTAGCCGGAACAACTTTTAATAAAGAACTCACCGGTAAATTTTTGAGTCCTCTGCATCGCAGGTGTGAACGGCTATTTTGAAGACATCGACAAAACGTATTTTTTGGAGGGGATAAAAAATTCTAAACTCGCCGGAACAAATGTTTGACGCTCAAAGGAGACTGTGTTGAGAAATAAATAAAAATTGTTTAAAAAATATATATGTTTTCACTTTTTAAAACGGCTTATCGAACAGCCCTCGCATTCACGACCTTAGAACACGAGCTGTCTCAGCTCGACAACTCGATGAATGTTTGAAAAGAAAAACTGTCTTCTTATGCTAGCGGCTCACCTGATGTTAAGTAATAACCGCCGCCCATGTACATTTGCAACACCCGTGGGTTGCAGATGCGTTGCCAACTTTTAACAAATTGGGCTACCGGACGGACCTGCCCATTCGTGCAACAGCGAAGACGTAGGCCCATATGTATAGTGGTGAGTAACTCTTGGCTTGCTCAGGAATTTAGGAAAAAGACAAATCCGTCAGGGCGGGAATCCCGAAAACGTGTGTTTCGTTCCCGCAGCGCCGAGAAACTTTTCGTTTCTTTTTTCTACAAATTTTAATGTTTATGGAACGGGTTCACGACTGCCGTAAATGCGCCGTTTGAGAATACGCGGCCACAAATTGTGACGGAGACCATACGGATGGTAGTAGCTACTAAAATTACTAAGAGACTTCCGTTATTATGGCGAAACTTTCCACATTGTCGAAATGTAGGTCAGAGCGAACAGCCCCCAAGATTCTTCAAACGGGTTTTACGCGCCGACCGCTCGCCTATATTTAGAGTCAAAAGAAGCTGTTCAATTTCCAGTTCGACACCTAACTCGTAGTGCGTCACATAATCTCACATTTTACAGTCCAAAAGGGCGTTATCGGAATAATCTTTAGTCATGTAACTAAATAGGTACCTGCATGCTTCAATGGATTGTCTGGTATTAGGAACATGAAAATAAATTACCATTTTGCATGGATAAAATCCCCCAATGAGTTAGGCTGAAGCAAGTGATATCATACATGATTCTGTCTGTTGAGATTATAGAATATTTTATATGAAATACACGCTATTTTTAAAGTTGCTCATAAGAAGGAGACAATTGGTTGCAGGTCATTTAATTTGCTGTATTGAAAACTGATTAAGATGACAATAATGAATGAATTTTACCACAAAATTATTAATGTACAATTATAACTTTTATAAACGCATCTTGTAAAGACAATCCAACACCATAGAATAAATTAAAGTTTACTTCAAATCATTCCTAAAATCCTTAAATTCAATGAATTTAAAAACATTCAGTTAAAATTATAATTAGTATTAATGGCTCCAATCTATATAATAGCATGATATTGAACTCTAATGTGTGGGTTAAATAGGCCAAATTGAAGTGAAATCTGTACATATAAACTCTGTGGCTGGGCTATGAAAGATGTCTTTATCTTCTTCACAAATTGTATTAGATCACTCATGCAACCCCATGGGGTTGCCTGACTCATGGACTGAGGTATTAGATTAGCATACTTTGCCACACAATGTGCTTGATGTTACAAAAGTAAAAAAAAAAGGATATTATCAGCCTATACATGTCCCACGGCTGGACAAAGGCCTCCTGTGTACAGAGGGTATCAGGGCATAGTCCACCACACGGCCCCACTTCGGATGGGCGGACTTCACATATGTTCTAAATTATTTTTTTATTATTTCGAAAATATGCAGGTTTCCTCACAATGTTTTCCTTCTCCGCTGAGCATGATAACCGGGGATCTATACATATTTTTTATAGAACATATTTTCCAAACTTTAAAAAATAAATATATTTCATATCCCTAAATTTCTTACATAAATGTTTTGAGGTTTGCTTCAATCATGACAAAAATATTAATTTAATCAAACAATAAATTAGAAATACATACATGAATTATAAATAGAATATATTTTAATTAATTTGAAAGCAAAAGTATTCTTAACCTATAACAAAATCAAAAATTCCGAAGCCCTAAATCGACATTCGACTTTACATTATAACCAACGCAAACCATGAAGCATATCCACAAAAATAATGTCTACTTTTGTGTAATGTGTAAGTATCGCTGAAAATTTTTAGGTTGTCCAGTTTATAAACAAAAGTATTTATAAAGGAAGTAGGTATAAATTAAAGCTTCTTATGAATAAAAATGTACACATTTTCGTATAGGTTAAATTTATAAGTTAATATAGGATAAATCAATAACAACATAGAGAATATAACAAGAAAACTGATTAAACTACTTACCAAAAAGTTGTATCGACTTGAACAATGCTAGAAAACAGCTCGGACCATTGCAAGTCCTGCACAAAAACACTAAATTCTCGACGACCACGATTCCAATTCTATGATATAATTAAAAAGGACTAAACTATGCTAAAAGGCACTTGTTTCGATTCTATACGTTTTTGGAAGAACTCAGTTTTAAGTTATCGCTCTAATGATAACTTTTTTACGATTATCTATTGATCCTAAAGATGATCCTAAGATGTTACACGGTACTAGTAATACAATTTTATCTAAAAATATAAACACCAAGACTGATACAATTTACAACAATTGCGAAAGACTAGCGATCTACTAGTTAATAGGTTAACATTAACACTTGACGCCTTAACTCTCCTTGCGCCCGTCGAGTGAACTTTCCTCAAATTTCATTGGCTAGCCAAGTAGCCAATGAACAAAACCATATGTTTTTTCCTATAAAAAGGCACAAGGAACATGGACATTTAACCGTACCCCCAAATTTAAATAAACGCTTTGGGATATTTTTAGGGGTGTTTTATTTTCTAGGGTTTTTTTTTATTCCTATATTTTTTTTGTTTTTTTCTTGATATTTTCTATTATTAATAAAAATGAACCAATTAAATTTATTTGTTGATCTAGTAACATTTAATACGTTTTTTTATTATTATCAATGTGTAGTTGAACTATGGCGAGTAAAAATAATTTTTTTAAGTCCGATTTACACTTGTCAAGTATTTAGTAAAGTAGACAAGTACAGTGAGTGAGCACAGTAGTGTAAGCAATTGCAAATCAAATTGGCTTGAATTTGCAACTTGACATAAATAGAATCGTTTTCTATTTTTGTTCGCAAGTTAACCCCTCGCGCGGCCACTTTACACCGCGTAGTCAGTGGCGGATTTGTAATATTCCAGGACCCCAGACCATGTTGTAAGTTCCAGCCGCCCCTTTCATATATCTTGTTATCATCAGTGAATTTTTGTTGACGATTGGCCGGCCCTAATATGTGGCCGCTATAGGCTCAGGCCTATTGGGCCTTAAGGAAAATCCGCCACTGTGCGTAGTGTTAACAAATTAGCATAGTGTTTACAAATTAGTACAGGTCATCAACTGGCAACAAAATTGCACATATACTATTATACTTACTGTAGTATAAAAAACAGCCACTTGTCCGGTGCTCGCCACTGGCCATTGTAGATACTTTTACGCTCTACTCACCACTGTCCATGACCAATGTAAATCTGGTTTTAGAGAATGCACCAAAAGTAATTTTATTTTTGGCAGTACGGTAAAAATATTGGTCGTCTAAAGAAATCATAAGAGTTAATTTTTATATAAATTTTAATTCCTTACAATTTTTCTTTAAACACTTTTTATAAGACCAACATTTTCGATGCAATATCATTCACTTAATGAAGTGAATATATTGCAGTGAAAAAGTTGGTCTTGAAAAATGGTTCTGTGGAAATTAAAATTAAATAAAAAATAAAAGTTTGCGCTATTTAGTATTTATATCTTTTTTTAAAATGTTTTTTTATTAGGGGGTTTTAGGGTTTTTAGGGACAAATATTTTCGGGAGTTGGTAATACTGGACATAATCCGTCAGTCTCACAATTTACATTTTTGAATTTCCAACGACCAACTAACCAACTATTATTTGAAACCATTTGTTTCTTTATCACAATTGTGTCATTGGCGAGATTATATGGACCGCCAACTGCCTTAGAAGAAGAAGAAGACTATATACAATTTAAAATTTTAAATTAAGATACCAAAAGAACAGTTGCAAGACGCATTTAATATGGAAAGTAAGTCTTTATTTTTAGTTGAAGAAAGACAGAAAACGTTCAAAAATTGGCCCTTTACTGACAAAAATAAATGTAATGTGAGTAATATGGCGGAGGCCGGGTTCTATTCTGTGGCTACTGGCGCTGACGATGCAGATGCAGCGAAATGCTTTCTTTGTGGAAAAGTATTAGATGGTTGGGAAGCAAATGACGATCCATGGGAAGAACACAAGAGCCATGCTGCCAAATGCGCCTTTGTGCAACTTGGAAAGAAAGATGATGACTTACTGGTAAAGTATATTTTCTTACATCATTTATCAGCGAATTTTTTGGGTACAAATGAACATGACTTGTGACTACATATATTAGTAAAGTAGATTATTATTTGTACTTCCGTAATGTATGTATGTGTAATGTAATGTATATGCTATTTTGTAATAATTAAAAAAAAAAATAAACTAAAAACAATCTACTTCAAATATCTTACTCATTTTACATTTTTTTTAATTTTGTGGAGTTCCTTGGTGTATTTCCCGAGTCCCAGGTCCAATACCAATGAAATTATTATGAAATCACATGGGAGCAATTCCAAACCCAACACAAAAAAAATTATTATATTCAGTTCATAAATGAGGGAGTTCTGAGGTAACAAACATAAAAAAAATATTCAACCAAATTGAGAACATCCTTTTTGAAGTCAATTGAAAATTAATATGCTCTTTTATTTCATGTCTAAATATCTTATGTAGACAAAGAACAGGTTTACATATAAATGTAGTCTCTTATGTTATATTCAAAGAAAGATGTGGTCGATATTTTTGAATGTAACTAGGTATTACACATAAAACTGCTTCTCCTTGTTAAGCTATTATTGGAAAAATATGGATGAAACTTTGCAAGTTTTTTTTTTTACATTTAACAATTACATGCTTATAGACAATTCTTTTGCTTTCAGCTATCTGAATTTTTATCAATCATCAAGCAATATATGATGAATGAAATAAATAGGATTGCAGAATTTGCCCAGGAGCAAATAGATGAGAAAGCAAAGGCTGTTCGAAGAAGATGTATGAGAAGAAAATGATGTTAAAACTCGCTGTTTACAAAGTTTTATGAGAGAGGAGATTATTAAGTGACTGTATAAATTATTAAATATAGACAAAAGATCGAGGTTCTAATTATAAATTAAAATATTATTAAACAAATTTTGTTTTAATTAAAATTCTTTAAGATGTGCTTTTAAAAAAATACTATTGGATTTTATTTAACATATTCTACAAAGACATACATTTAAATCTGTAATAATCATGTGTTGGTTGTGCAAGTACTGTTTCAATTGAAAGAATAAAATATGTATCTTCCACCAACGACAAGTTATTGAAGAGTTCAACTCTCGTTTAACTGAGACAGTAACTTAATCATTCTGATCAATTCAGAGTTTAACCATCCTTTTGACTACACAAATGACAATAATTGTCAGCTGACATATCTGTGTGATTGAGTTTGTAATGACTACATCCCCAGGAGAACAAAGGTAAACAACATAACTTTGAGACTCAGTAAGGTGAAATGGCAGTGGGCCGGCCATATAGCTAGAAGAACTATTCACCAATGGAGAATAAAGTTTCTTGATTGGCAGCCTTGTATTTGCTATCGCAGTGTAGGACGACCCCCCATTAGATGGTGTGAGAGGCTGTGCAAGCATGCAGGCAGTGTTGCAGAAGTGCAGATTCAAGATTCTGCTTTGTGGCGGACAGTGGGTGAGGACTATATTCAGCAGTGGACTGGCTTTCATTATGATGATTTGTAGTGAAATATAAACATAATTAATCGTTGATTTATTTTAATAAAAAATGCTTAAGTCTGAAGTATAAACATTTACAAATACATAGTTACATACACGCGTACACTTGTTAATTAGTATTTATAATAGCCGATAATCAACTTTAACATTTACTTTTAGCCTCTTGGTTGTTCTCGGTAGTTCTGAGCCGGAACGAAAGAGTTGTGTACGTAATCTTTTATATTCAGTGCTGGCCACCGATAAGTAAATATTTCACAGTATAAGAATACAAAGTTTGGGGCCGGATATGTCGATAAAACATCCCTTCAGGCTCCTTCATCGAGTTTCTTAAATAAGTGACTGTTGGTCAATAAAATAACCTGCAGTATCTAAATTGTATATTTGTATATTTATAACTGGTTTACTTATTATACTGGACTACTAGACCCCCTGGACGCCCAAGGAAGCGATGGCTGGACGTCGTGGAAAAGGAAATGAGAGCCAATGGACTGACCCCTGCGGATGTCGAAGACCGGGCAAAGTGGAGAAGTTTAAGTAAGAAAGCAGACCCTGGCAATAGCCGGGATTAATGCCAGGTAGAAGAAGAGACTTCTTATACTGGACTGCTGGACGTTAAATATCACAGAGTACTTTTGTATATAGGGAAAAATTGGTTAAATATTCCCTTTTTTCTGACACGTCTGCAAAGATCTACGTCAACGAACGTTAAAAAAGAAAACGCCACAGATTATCAACTTACGACGCCACAAAAGCTTTAATAATTTTTTTATCTTTAGTGCTAGGCTCTGCACTAAAGATGAAATTTTAAATTTTTGTAGATAAATAAAAACTTTCGGCACTGCGGGTAAATACTTACACTTTGCGCCGATTTTCTATGAGGTCGCGGTACTTACCTGAACGTGCCCGCCCATTCGTGCATGCCGAGGCTGCTGCGTGGCCCTACCACCGTGAAAATCTTCTACTGGTTTTTTTATAAAGACTAATAACTTCAAAAGAAGGAGGAGGAAGTTCTCAATTCTGTTGTAGCGTTTTTATTTGTTACCTTCGAACTCCATCATTTATGAACCGATTTAAAATATATATATTTGCGTAGTATACAATATATATATTTGTAGAGTCCTGTTTAGCTCTCGGTTTAACTTCATTGTGGTCATTGGATTCTAGAGGTACATCAGAGTATTTCCCAAAATTAAATACAAAAGGTATAGCGAATAAGATATTTGAAGTTGTATTTGTTTTTTGGTTAGTAAGAATGTTTTTTATGTTAACTTGAAACAAGAAGGCATGATAAATATCAACAAAATATTATTTTAATATTAGCGTTTCATAAGTTGTTGATTTTAATATTTAATTCCATCGAAACCGAACGAATGAATACAAACTTATTGCTCATTCATTAAAATAATTTGTCACTTAGCAACTGTAACTTATAACAAACCGATAAACGCACTCAAATTATTTTTAGGTTTAAAGTATTGTTTTATTTTCATTATACATATTATATACAACGTATGAGACTGAATAAGTGATCATGGATGTGAAGAATTTAGAGCCGTATGCTATTATAGGATTCGATGGTAAAAATGTTTTATTATAATCTCTATTTTTTATATAAACAAGCAAAGTGCAAGCTTCGGAACTACTTCTTAATCTTACTTCTTATTCTTCATTGGTCAAGGTTTTTTAGAGACTTCATATACCCTATCAGAATACATGAACCTCAACTCCAGGCGAAGAACAAGTAAAATTGAAAGTGTAAAAGAAAAACACCATAAAGATATCATTACTTTCTTTTATTCTCAGCGAGCATTCATTGTGTTATTTATATAATAATACAAAATGGTACAAAAACTGTCAAATTTTAAAGGTCTCAATAACTTGTGAATCCTGTTTGATCTATATTTCAGGATCGGCGCTGAAAGGTCTGAAGGTTCACCCTGATGGCGAACATATCGTCTACCCAATGGGTAATAAAGTCTGTATTCAGGAATGGAAGAGTAAGAAAATGCATTTCCTCAGCGGCCATTCCAATAGCGTCTCGACCGTCGCCGTGTCTCCCAAGGGAACTTACATAGGCTCTGGGCAAATCAACCACATCGGCTTCAAAGCCGCTGCGAAAATTTGGGATTTCAAGAAGAAGGTTGTTATAGGAAGTCACGAACTGCACAAGGTAAAATATAGGTAGTAGCAACTCTTTAGAAAGGTTCGAGTGTAACGTTTAAGTTATACAACCAAAGTTATCATTAAAATATATTCGGGTCGGTTGATTAGGTGAAGGCCAAGTGATTCAAACGTTGCATTTGTTTATTTTTCTTTTTTAAGTGAGATGTGGCAATTGCCATCTGGTGGTTCACCTGATGTTTAGTGATAACCGCCGTTCATTTGCAAGACCATAGGGTTGTAGTTGCGTTATCTTGTAATAAAGTGGTACCCGGCTAGCTAACTCACCAGACGAACACAGAAGTATAACACCTTCGAATAAACCTGCGCATTCGTGCAGTAGCGAAGACTGTTGCGTATTACCTTACCACATATGTATATATTTCGTATTATATATTTTAATGTACCTATAATTATTTCGTGCATATTGCGGGCTTCGGCTACGGGCGTTAAGTGTACCTAAGTTTTACATTTATCACACCAATTGGTGTAATTGGAGCGCATCAGTTTCGGTGCACTAGTGTCACACCTTGTATATGTGTATAATATCATTTGATTGCGCAACGTAAAAGTTCACTCTAATTATTTTTCCGAAACGCACCCAAAGAAGTATGACCGATAGGAGCACGCGTGTGTATATGTATATATACACACACACATATCTTATCCTTTAAACGAGCAATTCTTGTATATATGTATATAATCGGAATCTCAGACACGGCTCCAGCGATTTTCATGAAATTTAGTATGTGCTTAGATTCGGGGGCGAAAAATCGATCTAGCTAGGTTTCATTTTTAGAAAATGTACTTATCCCTGTTTTCAAGGAATGAAATCATGATTCACCAAAAAAAACCGAGGAAAGCTCGGTCCTCCAGGTACTATATATATATATATATATATGTGTGTAAGTGTGCGGGAAGTCGATGGATGCAGGTGGCTCAGGATCGTGCTTCGTGGCGGTCTGTGGGGGAGGCCTATGTTCAGCGGTGAACTCGAACGGGCTGAAATGATGAGCACACCAGGTGCGCGTGGAGGCGCTGGCGTTCTCGTCGGACGAGCGCTACCTGATCTCGCTGGGCGGCCGCGACGACGGCTGCGTGGTGCTGTGGGATTGCGTCGGCGGCGCTGCCTCGGCCACTGCGCCCGCCGCCAAGCTCACGGCGGGCGACGCGTTCGCGCTGGCGCCGCTGCCGCTGCGCGCCAACGCCTTCGTCACGGGCGGCGACTGTGAGCCATTTGGCCTAGCCTATCGTGCCGTAACAAATGCAGCAACAGCGAAGGCCATCATCTTAGTTAGGGGAAACATTCTTTTACATCACATAGCCTTTTCAAAGACCAAATGTATATATTGTCAACAATCACTTAGAGAAATTGGTAACGTTTTTTTAGTGCATAACCTTTCTAACAGCACTATGCACACCACCAGTTTTTCATTTTTTCCACAAACTTGAATGTTTCACCTCAAGCGCATAATTTAGCACTATAAAAATTTAAATTAGTTAAAAGAATCCTTAAAGATCCTTTTTAGTCAACAGACGTACAGGCCGTGCTGTTATCGCTTTCAAATTTCCCGTGTGGACAACGTATTTATCTTCTCTTCAGCCAACCTCCGCGTGTGGAGCGTCCGGCCGGAGACCAAGACCCTGGACGTGGTGGACGTGTCGCTCGGCAAGCTACGGCGCAGCGTTCGCTGCATCGCCATCAACAAGGACGACTCTTATGGCTACGCTGGGACCACGTGAGTGCATAATACTCAGTACCTACATTTCTAATGCGCTTTGTTTGCAGTTCAAAGCTAATGCTTGTTTTGATTGAGAACCTAACGCCAATTTTATGTTAAAATTTACGTATAATAAACGGTACCAATTACAAGAATTTTAAAAATACAAACGTAGAAGCATTTATACCACATCATTTTGTCGATTGACAGGTATCCGGAACATATCCTTTTGACGGTTGTTAACAAAACCACCATTAACCGCACAGACGGTGTAGATGTAAGAATTACCTATGGGTGCTAAGAATTACCTACCTTTGTATTTATGATCTTATTTCTTCCACTTTGAGGCATTTGTCTTTCTGCAGAACGGGTGATATGATAAAGTTTTCGACCGGATTCTCCGAGTCTGGGGCGCTCGGCAAACCCTCGCTAATTGGCTGCCTCGCCAAGTGCGGTCCCTGGAGGAAGGGCAAACGGCCGGAGTCCGTCTGCTATAGCCAGGGCAAGTGCAAAATTTTTTCCTAAGACTAAGGAGGATATTACTAGCTTATAAACTGCTTTCAATTACCGCTATAATTTTCCCGTCCAATTTTAATGTGTTTTCAACTAAGAGAAAATACATTTTTGCTCAGCCAGTGCGTTTTGTTAGTTCAATTATTAGGTCATTACTTACCATGCAAGGGTGATGGAAGTAACTATATACTATTGCTACTACTAATACTTTATAATCAGTTTTTGACATAAATAGAAATTCCTGTTGGCAGTGATCGGCCAATCGATGACATACAATTTACAAAAGTCAAACTCGAACTAGATTGAATTGCGTTAATCATATCACATCATGACATAAAATGTGCTAAAGTCGTGTAGTCGTGCTTTGGAGCCAGCTCTGTTTACTACAATTGTATTCTTTTGGAGCAAATAAATGAAACAAATACACGACCTCAAATTGTGCAATTGTATATATAAAGCCTACAAGGCGGCAACTAAAGCCAGTTTGAACAGTAATTTAGGGGTGTTATGATATTACTTTCCTTGCGTTTAGCATTCCGTCTCCTAAGGGGAAAGGAAAGCAGGGATATGTAAGACTTCAACTAAATATAATGTCTTATTTGTTTGTGAAACCCATAATTGATTTGGAGGGTTTTAGCGATTTCCAGCAAACGCACTGGCGTCCCTTTGTATTGAATATTTCCAGCAGAAATTTATCTAAACTGTGCGAGTTCATTGGATACCATTCCTTTTTCGTGCAGGAATTGAGTCAATACTGATATTGGACGACGAATGCCTGATCGTGGGCGCCGGGGATGGCACCGTGGACATCCTCGATGAGATCAACTGGAAGGGTGATTTCCCCAAGGGCAAGATTTTGGACCCCAACAAGCCGCACTTCAAAGCAGTTGGTATTTTTCAGATGTCTATTTCATAAGAAAAAAGGTAGCATCGTTTCATAAAACGGTAGAGGTAACTTTATTCATAAAATAAAATGCAGAGCTATAAATATTCTCTTCGTAATCATGGCCATAGTTTTGCGAGCCTTTTTCGATTGAAAGTTCAGATCCTTGTTTTCTTGACCTTCCCATTTGTGTAACAGCGAACTGCCGATGGATGCAGATCACTCATGATTTTGTTTCGTGGCACTCTGTGGCAAAGGATCTTGAGTTGATCTTTGGCACCATCGCCACTTATCGTCACGTGGGACTGTAGTGAAGCGTGACTTCTCGCAGCTGAAGAGCGCCAAAGTGGAGGGCGGCATCACCTCGCTGGCGCTGCTGGAGGGCGGCGGGCGGGCGGTGGCCGAGCGGCTGCTGCTGGTGGGCACGCGCTCCAGCGAGATCTTCGCGCTGGAGCTGGGCGGGCTGTCGGCCACGCTGCTGGTGACGTGCCACCGCTGCGCCGTGAGCGACGTGGCGTTCCCGCGCGGCATGGCGGCCGTGTTCGCCACGGCGGGCCGCGGCTCCGTGCGCGTCTGGTGCGCCGCCAGCGGCCGCGAGCTGCTGCGCATCGCGATGCCCAACTTCGCCTGCTCCGCCGTGCTCTTCTCGGCGGACGGCGGCTCCATCGTCACCGGTCGGTTCTATCAGTTCTATCGGGGCAATAAGGAGGACTACTCGCATACTTTCTAAATAGCAATAAATATCCCGCTGCTGGGCAAAGGCCTCCTCTGTACAGAGGGTATCAGGGCATAGTACACATCGCGTCCCCACTGCAGTTTGACGCACTTCAAAACGAATAGCATAGTTATTAATTTCATATTATCAATATAGTTTAACAAGCCTCTGTGTGTCTATGAAGTGTCACATGTTTCAAATTAACCTTTACGTTCAAAATTGAGTACCAGGGCGGCAAAGCCCCTAGCGTGGTGTTGTTCTGGCTGCGATAAATACGTAACCTCTGCGTTCGACACAAAAGTACCGGGGCGCCATAGCCCAAAGTAATGTTGTTCCGAGTCGGATAAATACGTTGATAAATACGCAGCGTGGGACGACGGCAACATCCGCGCGTTCACGCCGCTGACCGGCCGCCTCATGTACTGCATCCTGAACACGCACAACAAGGGCACCTCCGCCCTCGACATGACCTCCGACGGCCGCACCCTCATCTCCGGCGGCTGCGAGGGACAGGTTCATTTATTTATTCACTTCACCAACAAAATACAACAAAAAAATTGAAATACATAAATAACAACGTAGTACATACCTTAAACTAAATGGTATGATAATTACAGGTGAAACGACATTCAAAAATTATTATATTGTATAATACCACGCATTTTGTGTTGTATATTTCGTAATTACAATCTGATTAGTATTATAGTACCATCCCACATTCTTATTTTATTTACACGTGTAATCTAAAGTGAACGTTATACAACTTTATATGTTAATTAGCTTACCCGGCTGGAACGTTGTTTTGCCATATAAATTATTTGTAGGGTAGAAAAAATGTTTGGGTGGACCACCCTTAACATTTAGGGGGATAAAAAATAGATGTTGTCCGATTATCCACCCTGGCCGATATGCACACAACATTTCACGAAAATCAGTCGAGTCGTTTCGGATGAGTTAAAAACGGTCAATTACAAACACCGTGACACGAGAATTTTATGTATTAGATTTAAAATGAAGAGCTGGAAATTGTATAGTGATATAGAAAAACGGCTTTTTAAGCATAACCTTCACGACTCTTTGGGCTCTTTCGAGTTCTTAAAAGCACTTTACCAGCTCATGCCTTACGAAAATTCCGTAACTAAGAATGAATTAGAACGGAACAGACAGAAATAGACCGTGTAAGATTTTGAACACGGTCGTAGTTTCTTCTACACCTAAATCAGTTTCGTACAATGCCCGTACCGTTTCGTACAATGAATGAATTGGCACACACAGTAATGGACTTCATTAGATTTGGCACACAGACTTAGTTGGTTCCACAAACCAGTTTCGTACAATGCCCTCCCCGGTGGCGATGCATGTCAGGTGCGCGTGTGGGACATCAGGCCCGAGCGCCAGAGCCTCAAGAAGGTGCTGAAGGAGCACAAGAGCCCGGTGTCCGCCATCCAGGTGTCGCCCAACGACACGGAGGCCGTCAGCGCCGGCACCGACGGCTCCTGCATCATCTGGGATCTGCTGTACGCTCTTTTTCATTCCACAAGTTGCCACTGATCACCAACTCCCATGGACATCTACGTGGGAGGGTTCGCAGACCAGAACGGTTTTTTGTTTCACCAGAAAATACGAGGAAGTATAATAGTTCCACTTCAAGCTGGCCGTGGCTCTTATTCGGACGTGGTCCTATCAGAGTTTTTACAGTTTACTCTTCTGTTAATATGCTGAAACTTAAATCGGGAATTAATGTGAAAAAAATAGGTAGCCATCTTACTTTAAACCTCAACGAACTATTTGTTGTAACAAACAAATAGTTCTTTGAAGTTCAATGTCGTATTCTACAAACCCTCTATTTAACTAAACGACTTGTAGTTTCTTTCATTATTTTTCTAATGTTTTTTCGATCGTTCAGGGTGTTCTGTGGCAAATATCCCTGCTTCTGCGCGGCCTCGGCCTATTTACATATCATCATCGTGTACGCCATTAACTTGTCACAAGCTCGAATTGCCAGTCCGATAGACAGAAGCTACCAGATGAGTCGGCAATAGAGCGGAGAGGAAAAAAAGAAAAAAAAGTAGCCAACTGAGTTTTTTTCGCCGGTCCTTCTCAGTTCAGTGGCTTTTGTTTTCCTAACCGATGGTAGTGTTTTGACTGTCAATAAGTGAGTGTAATGCTCCTATGTTGTTTATACGGTGGTAGGCCACGCAGCTGCCTCGGCTGTCGCACAAATGGGCAGGTTGGTCCGGGCAAGTACCGCGATCTCACATAAGATCGGCGTAAAGTGGAAGTATAATACTTTCGAGTTTCGTCCGGTGAGCGATGTGGCCGGAGCTCAATTCTATCGCATCTAGAAACCTTCGGGCGTAGGAGCTGTCCATGGGCGGCGGTATTTGCTTAAGATGAGGTGCGCGGCAGGTCGCTGTCGCGGCGGCAGGTGATGTACGCGAACACGCTGTTCACGTGCGTGCGCTTCGAGCCGCGCGGCTGCCAGCTGCTCACCGGCGGCACGGACCGCCGCGTCGCCTACTGGGAGGCGGCCAGCGGCAACCTGGCGCGCGAGGCAATCGACCGCACTTCCCCAATAATTCCTTCTATACACTCCCACCCAGCCACATTCAGATTATACACCCACATTCATTCATTCCTTCATACACCCCCAACACATTCATACGACCGTACACCCAAACTCATTAATTTGGTCGTACACGCGCACTCATACGATCGTACACCCCCACTCATTCGTTCGATCGTACACCCCCAATCATTCATTCGTTCATATACCACACTCATTCATTTTATCTTACATCCCCACTCATTCATTTGGTCGTACACCCGCACTCTTTTATTCGCCCTTACACCTGTATGATAACATAATCATGTGTCATAAAGACGTTTTACATACATAAATTTCACATGGACTAAAACCCAGATCCGAAACTATCTGTGCGTCATGCAAATAATTCTCCTGTGGAAATCGAACCCACCGGCGCCTCGGAGTCAACAAAACCATTGGATCATACACCGCCACTCATTCATTCCCACTCCCACTGGATCCACGGACTAATGAAAGATTCGCTCAATCTCGTTTTAATAACACAAAACGGTTTCGTCTTCTCACTCATTCATACACTCGATAGATGACACAATCGTACACCCAATTTGTTTAATGCATTCGCCCGTCCTTTGATTATTTTAAACAACATTTTACTAATTCTGATGAAAAGCGACAACACGATTTTCACTAAATTTAATAGTTAATCAGCCATTGTGTTATATAGACCTATCGAATTTAAAATAGAAAGATCAAATTTAAAAATGGCCAAAGTAGGTAAATAGATGAATTCTCACATCGTTTTATCCAAATTATAGTCAATCAAATCTAAGGAACTGCTCTCGCTATCCCAACTAACTCTGTTCAAACTTACCTACCTATACACAAAATTTCAATATTAAAAATAATCGGCAAGTTACAACAATATTAAAAATGAAATTATTGTATTGGAAATATAATGGGCAACAAACTTACAAGTCTAGAAATCATAGTAAATTCATGGCATTGAAATGTTTCATTAAAATAATATGACAGGTATCTAAACACTGAACAAGACAGTAGACCAAGGAACTAATAGGAAGAAATGGCGCAATGATAGTTATCATTCCCAACAGTTGGAGGCGAGCAAAGTGGGTGCAATCAACGGCTTAGACATCTCCCAAGACGGGGAACTGTTCGTGACCGGAGGCAACGATCAGATGATCAAGGTACCCACAATCCCAGAAACATTCAAAATGATCCCGATTAATATTGAATCGTTGAAATGACCGGTTAAGCGTTCTAAAGGATCATTTACTATCAATACTTTAAATATTGATTTGGACTTTTAATGGTGATAATAGTTTGACAATTTTTCTTAAAATCATTGACATATATTTATATATTTTATGGAACGTAGTCACTTCATGTTAAGTTAATTGCGATCCGTTACGTTAAATTACTTGCACGGATAGATGCACTATTAAATAATTATTGGGCACCTGAACCTTGTGAGTCAATTATTGAGCCTGACAAATAAGAGGCGCAGCTGGGGGGGAGGGATGTCGAAAAATTGTCGATATATTTGATTTTATATATCGATATTATCAGCCGATATATTTGGATCCGACAGGTGGCGAAATATTTGTTACTTGAATAAAGGGGGGTCAAAGAGATGATATCGATATCGGTCTATATATCTTTTCGATGCATCGAGGCCGGACTCGCGCATGAAAACGGCAAAAAAAATCATGTCTGTTGTAGGGGAGCCCCCACTTAAATATTTTTTATTCTATTTTTTTAGCATTTCATGTTACAGCGGCAACAGAAATACATCACCTTTGAAATTTTCAATTGACTAATTATCACGGTTCACGAGATACGGCCTAGTCTTAGTGGTAGGGCCTTTTTTAAGGAGGCTCACCCGATGGCAAGTGACCACCGCAAATGGACACCTGCAACACCAGCGGGCTGACAAAAAGAGTGCGCTCTCTTCTCGAAAGTAACCGTGTGCCGCGTGGCCGCAGCTGTGGCGCTACCAGGAGGGCGTGTACACGCACACGGGGCTGGGCCACGCGGCGGCCGTGACCTGCTGCCGCTTCAGCCCCGACAAGCGGCGCATCGTCAGCGCCTGCGCGGCCGGCGGGCTCGTCATCTGGCGCACGCCGCAGGTGAACCACCTGCCCCCTCCCTCTCCACGGCCAGCCCCGCCCAGGAAGCGGCACGGCCTCTGCAACCCTACGGGCTACGGCACTCGTGGAAAAACTACTATAAAGTGAAATAATGATGTAGATTGATCCTTCCTTTCCAAATATAGACAAAAATGGATGGAGTGTTATAGACCCCTGCGTTTAGAAAAATAGTTAAATGACTTACTTGTATTACCTCAATAAGCAGCATTAATTTAATAAATCATTGCATTGTCGGCGAATCGAGCAGGAATACTTACAACCGGAGGATCCCCTGTCCCCGAAAACCAAAACGTTGGCGTCCCCAAAATCCCTCCGAGAAGAGCTCAGGTTACCGCTTGAACATAATGAGAAGCAAAAACAGAAACCATCAGCTGAGCGTCACCATAAACTTCCAGCCGCACCGTCCAAGGTAATAAGTTTATATATATATTTTTTTAAGTTACACTTATTTTGGCGCGTTTGGAAAATATGAGAGTAAAATTTTTACGATGCGCGCTCACACCGACATCCAAAATCGACGCAATAACAACTGTTTTGACATTTATCAATAATTCCAAGTGATTTAGATAAACCGTTATCAATTGCATTTAACGTACAAATTCTTAAAAAAGTACAAATTCTTACGTACGTTAATAAGTAAACACATTTTTTGTGTGAGGTGGCAAGCGAACTGGCGGTTCACCCGATGCTAAGTGATACCCGCCGCTTATGGACATTTGCAACACCGGTAGGGTTGCACATGCGTTGCCACCTCTAAATAAAGTGGGCCCTGACTACCTCACTCACCAGACGAAACGTAGAAGTATAAATAATGCTTCTACTCCACGCCGATTTGTGAGTGGCACTTACGCGGATGGAGATAGACGGTTGCGTGGTCCTACCATGTTTTAATGTTACGTGATTAACTAAATTGCGTATTTTTATTACACTTTCACTTTGATATTCACTCACTACCCAACTCATAAGGCTAAATGCAAGTTACATAGGCCTTAGCCTTCATTTAAAGTAGTGACATAATCTCATTCGTCACTACGAGTAATTTCACACACGGGCCTGTACAAAGTGGACATTGGCTAAGAAATCTTCTCTTTGCAAAATATATATGTACAAAACACGTGAAAAGAACATTGATAGACAAAACGAATTCTTTGAACATAACTCGGGGTGAATGGTCGAGCGAAACTCAATTGAAAATGTCTGTTAATAATATTGAACAATATCGAGAACTAAGAATAAAGTGTGTCTTGCTTTGTATTTGCATGTCTCCTGCCTATATCGTACTGTTCTTTGCCCGCCCTTCTCTGGAGTTCCAAGTTGGCGAGCCGTGGTAGATTAAGACAAGCGATAGATTTTTTTTTTTTTAGTTTTTATAAACATTGCCCTCGCTTTAGGATAACATTATCCTGTGTTGTAAGGACGTTTTACAAATATAAATTGCACGAGGACAAACACCCAGATGCGATACAACATACTACTATCTGTGGGTCGCACAAGTAGTTAATATAATAAAATTATTGATAGATCACACTTTACTGATTACCACGTGCAGGTGGAGCGAATAGAAGCGATGAACACTTCCCGCAGCAGCGTGCACTCTTGCTGCCCCTGCGACCTCACCGCTCGCTCCGACGAGTCGAAGAAGAGCTCCCCAAAAGCCCTCAAGTGTTGTCGACCACCGGGTAAATGAAAATTCTAAAGAATTCCGATACAGTGCGAAAAAAGTAAGAAAAGTTTTTCGCTGTGGGAATCGAACCCACGTCTTCGGTATTCGCGCCCTGACGCTTTAACCACTAAGCGAAACGGCTGATCGCCACACCGACGAAAATCTCAACGTCTCTTAGCATTTGAACCAAAGCTTGGCGCATCCGTTGTTATATCCTTTACAGCGTACAGACAATTTCGAATATCGTTTTACAACGATAATTCGAACGAGAGATGTCGCCATTGTTTTTAGGAATTTAAATATTTATAGTGGTAATCTCTGCGCTTAAGATGAAACATTAAATTTTTTTTTGTAATTTACCACAGTAATAATTTTCAGATAACCTCCCAACACGAACCACAAGCAAAGATTACATCAGCAGCAGCGGAGACAGGAGATGAATGTCTGAATGTGTTGCATTTACTGGTGGTAGTTTACGATATGTTTTAATATTCCGCATTTCTGAATAAATATTTTATATTCATTTAATGTTTCATTTTCGTAATTATGTTATTCAATGGTGGAGGGGATCCGTTTGCCAATTGTCACGGCGCCCACAAATGTTTATTCATATTCCGAGGAGGGCAACATTTTAAGTGATCCATTAAGTGTTTACTTAGTAGACATTGAACATTTCTGGATTTAGATCCTGTTGAAATCAAACCACATATTTAATGTTTCTCGAAGTATATGCCCGCACTATTTGCATATTTCTGCATTCATTGGAACCATTAAGTAAAACAGATTCCCACACCAGCTGCGTGGTTCAATCCGTATGGCGGATGCGTCATGAGTTTCACATTAGTCCTTCATGTATGCAATCTCTATCTTAGCGGAATGTACGACGGTTTTCGTGGTGAAGGTCAAATTCGAAGGTTGAAGTATCTAATTTATTTACTTTATTTATTAAGTCGAATCACGCAGTTTTCATAGCGTGCTAAGATTTCTTTTTTTTATGTGAGAAGGTGACGATTTTTTCTCAAACTTAGGAAAACCTGAAAGACTTTTCTATGGAACTTTTTTATGAACTTAAAACTTAAAACGCAATACGCGTAATTCTTCAACAGTGCTGACCTAGTATAAAGAAAAAAAAAATAAGCATGAACATTTAGTCGAAAATTTTTCATAAATCAATATTGCTCTTCATAACTGATAATATGAAAAACAAAATGTGTTAAGGTTTTTTTTTTTTAAATTGACATAGTTTTCGAATGAAATTAATTCTAAGTATGCATTAGTCTTATAAGTCATATAAAAATTGATTTAATAAAATACGTTATACAAACCTTCCCGCTTTTTTAGGAATAATAATAGTCTAGGATTTATGTTTATTTTTAGTACTAATCTCTGCACTCAAGATGAAACTTTACATTATGAATTTTTGTAGACAAATGTACAAAATCTTTCGACGCTCCGGGATTCGAATTGGGCTCCAAGCATTGCTAAAAAATTCAATAGAAAGAATGTCGAGATTTTCGCGCCGTGAGGTCATTGACCGCATAGTTTAGTTGCCGTAGCGCCGAGTTTTTGTACATTTATATTAAAAAAAAATCACGTCAAGAAATAAAATGAAAACAGAACCATAGAAAGTGCATTTATCTTAATGTATTGGTTTATAAAAGGGTAACATTATAATGACTTATACTACATTTTCATAGAATGTTCTTAAATGCAAAGAATATAATACATTTATAATATACAGCGTGTCTTTACAATCGCGACAATAAATGAACACACATATAGAGGATAACTTTTTAAAATTGTATCAAAAATTTACATTCTTTAAAAATCAATATTTACAGAGTTATTAAATTTTGCAAAACAAACAATTTTAGAACAACCTTACGTATAAAACTGTAACGTAAAGTTCATTTGTAAAGGTCACAAAGCATATGAAGGGGTTGAATGAATTTAAAAGAGACAAAACATACTGTTAGAAGGAGAGGCTTGTAAAGCGACGCTGTGGCAACGAATGAAAAAGTCTCTAAATGTATGAATCAGTCAGTTGTTGTTGTATAGCATGTTACAAATTTTGTTTCTTTTTTACTTTTTTAGTTTGAAAAATATTTTTTTTAAGTATGGATTTTTTTAACGTTAATATTTTTTTATGATTATTGGCAAGTAGCGTTAGACGTGTGTTCATTTATTGTCGCGGTGGTAACGACACGCTGTATGTTTTTCCTCATAATAGAAGCACAGGAAATGCTGAGATCATTTAAACCAGCGGTAGCTCCTCGGACATCAGCCCCAAGCTTGGCTTTTGCAGTAATGCAGTACTAATTTACCATCAGTGCCAAAACACTCATACAGATTTTTGATAATTTGATCAGGCGATGGTGCAAATGTTTGGTTAACATATAAGAACTGAAATGATAATATTGTATTATTAGCTATTGTTTATTGTATTTTATTTAACTGTATTTTTTTTTATTTGGTGCACAAGAATATAAAAAGTGCAACAATAGTCTAAATACAAAAATTATTGCTGTTTGTTATCCCTGGCAGGGTCTCTAAACTATAAATGGATTAAATATAACTTTTTGATACTAAACAGAATTATTAAAAATAATATCTATGTAAAAATTTTCTCTTACCAATTTCTCTTCAGGCTCCAACTTCAGATATTTCTTTACAAATTCCATGATCCAACCAATGGGTTTTTCAGCATCTACTGCCCACTTCTTCTTTTTCATTATAGGGGCATCCCCGGTCGCTTTCAATAAAATGTCAACTGCAAAGTTATTAAATAACATGTTAATCAGATTATGAAAGACTAAAATACATTAGCAAACCTACATACATTCATAGGTACATACATAATATAAACTTATACTTCTAACCATATAGAATTAATTAAAACTTCTGACCAATATATATATAAAATTAACCAATTAAAATTTCGGGGACATTTTTATTTTACAATATTGTCATCGATTGTTAAACATGTATATGACATTTTTCTGCAATGATTTTATAATATTTAAAATAATATCTACAACCCTTTTAATTAATACTTCTGATTAAATACTTTACAGTTAACAGAAAATATATGGGCAGAAAGTATAAATCAATGGTGTGCTACTGTTATAATAAATCAAAATCAAATGTCTTTATTCAACATAGGAGCATTACACTCACTTATTGATAGTCAAAACACTACCACCGGTTCGGAAAAGAAAGCCACTATACTGAGAAGAACCGACGAAAGAAACTCAGCGGGATTTTTTTTAAATAAGCAGTTTTACATAAATTCATTAAAAATGCAATATAAGAACTCCGATTGAAAGAGCCTGGAGCGATCATTTCATTACCAGAGTGTGTTATCATTTAAATAATCATTAATATTATAGTAGCCTTTAAGACACAAACATTCTTTTACTATTTTTTTAAATTTAGCTATTGATGCATTTTGAACGTTTTCTGGAATTTTTTTGTAGTAACGTATACATTTTCCCATAAAAGATTTACTTATTTTACGCAGTCTACTTGCGGGTAGGATCAATTTATTTTTGTTCCTAGTATTTATATCATGAACATTATTATGTCTTAAAAATTTATCCTTATTTTTATGGACGTACAAAACATTTTCAAAAATGTATTGAGCAGCAACAGTCAAAGTCAAATGATAGTAAAGTCAACCAATATGAGTTGAGCAACAGTGCCGAGTGCAGAGTAGACGGATTACGATATTCAACATAATTATATTGCAAATTAGATAAAAGCCTTTAATCAATGCAAGCATTCAGACATCAAAAAGAAGGATAATTACTGAACACAGGGAATTGAAGGTTATCCTTCTAACTATCATAACACTGCACATAAGTTGGAAAACGTAAAATTTATCTGGCCTAGGCTACAAAACAAGAGTACATTAATAAGTTTTCTACTTTATCTTAGTGCTGCAATATAAAAAATTTATTAAAAAAACTGGTCAAGTGCAAGTCGATACCGTTATATCAACAAATAATCACCACCGATTTTCTCAGGAACATGTGGACTTAGCAAGTTGAAATTAATACCAGATATACTTTTGACCCAAAACCTATAGGGTACTTCCCGTTGACCAAGAATTGTCAATTTTGGTTAAAAGCATAGCCTTACAGGACAAATAAAGAAAAAAAAACCGAAAAATAAAAAAAGTTGAAAATTAAGGTAACTTTTGGTACTTACAAGTTTCTATGAAAATCTCAATTTGCCCATACCTTTTTATCATGTTGATTCAGGACCTAGATTTTTAGGTACCTAATAGGGACTAAAGATCTTAGTATCTGGTATAAATTTCAACTTGCTAGATCCAGCTGTTCCTGACAAAATCAGTGGTGACACACGGACCGACAAACGGACAAGAGTCATCTTATAACGGTTCCTTTTTTTACCTTTTAAGGTACGGATCCCTAAATAATACTTAAGTTGCTCTCCTTTTATTTTAATTGATTTTATGAACTTGATGAATAATATATTAATAATTTTTTACAAAGAAACTTGACCTCTCTCTCTCTCTCTCTCTCTCTGTACTATAAACAGACAATAAGTACATTGATACTTTAAATGCTGTAAAATTTTTAAAAAGGCAAAAAAATTAGCACTGATATTTCTTTAATGGTACCTCTACTTGAACTTGGAGCAAGTTCTGTAAAACAACAATGATCGCAAAGAAAAGATACAAGGTAAAAGAGAAACAAATCCTAAGACAGAATAGAAAATTTTAGTTTAATTTGCGATCTATGATTTTTAAATGACCTGGTCCATCAAATTCCATCATATTTTTGTAATTTCAAGAAAAACTTGATAATTTCTCAAATAATGTCTTCCTTAAGTTTACACTTTCTTTACTTTTATACAAGCCTAAACTTTAAATAAGCTTTTTGTTATCATTAATCAATACTTCAATTATGCTCTAGCTATTATTTGACAAAAAAAATGTAAAAATAAAATTTAAACCTTTTGTTTTATCAATTTTTCCAGGATCATTGTTTTCTTTTTGTTCACTTTCAATTTTAAGATTTTCGTTCGCACTAGACAAATCTGTCTGTGGTGTGTCATTTTTTTCATCAGCCATTTGATTTTACTTGTTGAATAATCACTCTATTTTTATAATTATATTATTTATATCTTTTAAAGTATAAAATTTAAATTGATTAACATCAAAACATATAGAAAACAGAAGATAATTTCTGTGATCTGTCAACTAGTTGTCAATGTCAACCACATTTGTCAATGTCACTGGTGCTTAATCGGGTGCACGAGTTCGAAACCATGAAGCCGTTAGGTGCCGAAAAAGATAACGCAGAATTTTAGTAAAATTGGGCAGTTCAACTTTCAACCCTTCAGATGGAGTTTGTTTCACTGACGAAGTTTCGTTAGAATTCAGAATTTTGCTATAAATTCTTTCCATCAGGATATTTAATGTAAAATTTTATGTTTTATTTTACTTATATTAATGTCAATATTTTTATATGCTTCTTGTTGTTTTGTACATTTTTTTCTTCTAGAGACATCAATTTCACTATGTGATTATTTTTTTAGCAGGTTCAATGAGGTGAATGTCGGCTACTTTCATTAATGATATAAAACAAAAACAATAGTCACCTTGGCGAGACCAACACGACGCCCACACAAGGTAATAAGCATTGCTTCAAACGCTAAGAAAACAATGTAGAAGAATACGTTAAGATTTTCGTCGGTGTGGCAATCAGCCGTTTAGCTCAGTGGCTAGAGCGTCAGGACGCGAATGCCGAAGACGTGGGTTCGATTCCCACAGCGGCGACAATCTTTTCGCACTTTTTCTACATATTTTAAGAAAATTATTATTTTAATTAACTACCATTAAATAAAGTAAAAGAAGAATTGACCATTCTTCTTTGACGTAATATTTAATGCAAACAATTGATTTGTACAAAGAATGTACGTAATTTACGATGGTAGGACCACACCACAGCCTCGACCTTTGCACGAATAGGCAGGCCCGTCCGGGTAAGTACCACGACCGCACAGAAGACCAGCGTAAGGCGGAAGTATCGCGTTTCGTCTGGTGAGTAAGGTAGCCGAAGCCCAATTTTCAAAAGGTTGTCAACGCATGTGTAACCCTCGGGTGTAGCAGATGTCCATGGGCGGCGGTATTCACTTCACATCAGGTGAACCGTCTGCTCGTTTGGCAACTTTTCACATAAAAAAAATGTGTAAGATCTTTATACACGTCGACAAAACATCTGCAGTACTATTATTTCAGCCAACAATGCCACTATCACTGCTTGAACTGGCCGGCAGAGCGTAATACTTCCTCACAGTATCATCTTTATTGCAGTACTTAATAGATGTGTATTGCAACGGTGTCGTTTGGCGTATTACGTGGGTGAGAGCTGGGGCCGGAGGGGTCTACTCAGGGGCCTGCGCCACGCGGCACTGACGGGGCCCAGCGCCCCCCCTCGTCCAGTCAACTTAGTGCTTTTAGCCCCAAATTTAGGGCGGAACTAAGCATTTTGGGCTTTTTTTAGGGTCAAAAAATGTTAAGGGCCATGAATAATATTGCATGAATCACTATTTTCCCCGTGATAGCTCAGTGTCCGGGCGCTCGCCTTTAATTCAATATACTCGAGCAACCTGAGTTCGATCCCCGGTGCCGGCACCAGTGAAGTTTTTAACTTTAAGTGCTGAGTTATCACGTGCTTCGCGCTGAAGGAAAACCTCGTGAGGAAACCTGCATATTTTCCTAATAATTACAAAAAATATACATATTTCGAAGATATGTGAAGTCCGCCAATACGCAGTGGGACCGCGTGGTGGACTATGCCCATTGCCCTGATACCCTCTATATAGAGGAGGCCTTTGCCCAGCAGTGGGACATGTATAGGCTGTTACTTTACTTTACTATTTTCACTGATCAGAATGAATAAAATTAAAGCCAGATGTCTATTAATGAATGTAATTTATAAAATGTTTGTTAATATTATGCAATTTTCTTATTTATTTCAACTATTTCTAAAGTAAAATAATTAAAACTAAGTTACATTATATTAATCAAACGACGTAAAACCCATTTAAACGATATGTATGAATTCAATACAGGGCTTTTTTGGGGCTTTGAATATTTCTTTTTGGGTTATTGAGGGCTATTTCATCTTGATTTTGACCATTTCTTTTTAGTAGTTGGCAACACTCTCATATAGTTGCCGAGCGCCGCAAAGCTCGCATTGTTCCCGCATAAGGGCCATTCGCGTGGTGGCGTAGTGCTGACGGTGGTGCGTTGTCAGGGTTGCCTCGAGTAGCGCAGCCCTAACTCTTCCACAACCTCCTCAATGCCAGGAAGCGGTTCAGCTGCTCGTGGCTGTGCGCCGCCGACAGGCAGAACCTGCGCACGGTGTGACAGAGAGAGAGAGAGAGAGAGAGAGAGAGAGAGAGAGAGAGAGAGAGAGGCAGAAAGGAGAAAAGAGCGTGAAGAAATGGAAGAAGAAGAAATGATTTGCCATATATAGTGGAAAAAAGGTCTCAAATTGTATCGTTTGCGGATGACACTATTGTTTAGAGTTAAAAGGAAAGATGATGCACTAGAACAACCAAATGAAATACTAGATGTTGTGTCAGGCTAGTTTGCTACCAATAACTTACTTTTGAACTCCACTAAAACAAAATGTATTAGATTTACTCTTTCAAAGTTGTGTCACTAATCTATTTATCTCTATTGATGAGAATATCCTACCTCTTGAGGATTCAACAGCATTTCTTGAAATAAGCGTTGATTCCAAGTTGCAATGGGGATTTCATGTAGATAAAGATAAGTTAGCTAAGAAATTGAGCGCTGCCGTCTTTTCCATACGCAAGATCAGGCAGCTAACTAACGAGGAAACAGCTAAATTAGTTTATTATGCTTATTTTCACAGCATAATGTCTTATGGTGTCTTACTTTGGGGTGCCTCTTCTGGTTTAGGCACAATATTGGTATTACAAAAGCAGGCTATAGGGGCTGTCTATGGCTTGGGTCCACGTGAGTGACTACGGCATTTAGCATATAAACGTTTTATCGGTGCCATCGCTTTACATACTTGAGGACATCATGTATGTACGTAATAACATCCACCTATTTACGAAAAAACATTCCACATCGCCTCGGGGCCATGGTGACAATCTGGAAGTACCGAGAGTTAGACTGGCTAAAACCAGAAAGTCGTTTCTTGGTAGATGTATCAACATTTATAATAAAATAGGTGACATCCACAAACAACTAAGTATAAACAATGTCAAACAATTTGTAAAAGTTACCTTAAAGGCAAGAGCCTACTATATTGTCCAAGAATACATTTAGGACAAGGATGTGTGGAAATGACTCTTGCTCTGCACTTGCAAGACCCCTGGCTGCAGCTGATTTGATACCTAAATAAATTTGTATAAGTTTTCTTCTCTGTTCAGGTCTAGGTTAGTGAAACGGTGGTAGACAAAGAGATTATAACCACTATGTTTCATATTTTTGGTTCGTATAGTTGGTAGAATAAATTGCAATGAGTTAATACATTTAATTTTTTTTGTTTGATGATTATGATGGTGATATTTTAGTTTCCACCCACTGGTGGTAGATTTTTTATTGACGTTCAATAAGTTAAAAGCTTATATTGAACAAAGATTATTTGACTTTGACTTTGATTTCTAAAGTGATATAAAAATAGTTTATATTTCTTAACCATACTTAATGAAATTTTTAATTTTATCAGATAATTATTTTACCTTGATAATATATAAAAAATCATGATTTTAATCTTAAGTAGTTTTTGTTTTATTTTAGTCAATTTTAGTGGGCTTTAGTATTATTTTTGCAGTTGGTAACACTGCATTATAGCATTACAAAGACATATTGAGTCCTACTGCTTCGTTTCCTTTTTTAACGTAATTCTAAGTTGTAATCATCATAATGTAATGTACTTAATGTAGAGTTGTATAGGGAAATATTGATAGAATTAGAGGTCATTAAACAATGTACATTGAATTGAACTATCTTTTTAGTCTTTCTTAGATGATCCGATTAACGACATTGTCAATTTCGTAATACTAAATACTTTTTGATTTGCATTTGTCTTCGTTCTTGACAATGAGTTGGCATACCAAAGAAGATGTGCTTGATGACCTTGCACAGGTTATGGGAAACGAAATAAAGGAACTTGATGAACAATATATTTTAATCGGTGAGCAACCACCGCCACCCTCTTGCACATCAAATGAAGCGGGTAAGTGTTACAAATTTCCGTATTGTAATTGCTTCGTATTTGTTTTACATAAATTGATTACAATCACTAATTTTTCGAAAGTTATGGTCTTTTTAAAATGTTTTTAGTCTTATGTAAACTCACACGAAACAATTATAAATTGGGTATTGTTTTAGTATACGGTAGCACGTGTAAACCCCCCTGTAAAAGGGGATGGTGCGGAAATATATAGTTTTTGAAATATGTATAGAAATGTACCCTAACATATGCAATGTTACTATGTTGATATTTATTGAGAATTAGGTGGTGGAGGTGGAGAGGGGGGTTTCCTTAGCCCCCCTATATGGGACTCCTATTTCTGGATGGTTATAAAAAATAACCAGGAATTTCTTACCTAAGCTATTAAAATATATGTACCTATAGTAAATTTTCTTGTCTCAGTGTTCTCTTTTTCTATAGGCAAAGTTTTACCATGAACATCCAATTATTTATTGGTCTGGAATAACACATGTTAAAATATTTCCTTTTAACATGTGTTAACCATTGCCTCTTTTTAATGTTGACTGTTCCATATGATTCTTAGAAGTTAACCTATAAAACTTAAAAAAATAATTTTTCAATAACCAGTAAGTTTCTGCAGAAAATCCTACTAGTATTTACTTCTACGGTCTATTACTTACCTTTTAAAATTATAACAAAAATTGAGCTACCATACACTAAAGGAAAGCTATAAATTGTTATATTTTAAACCGCTGCTTTTAGTTAAAGGATTAATTAAAATTATTAATTATTTTATATTAACTATTAACCCAGTTATTCTATAAATAATATATAATTATTTGTCTACCTATTTTCGTTTTTAAATTGTAAATATGAATAACTTTACACTTCTTCTCCTTTAGTGTCTAAAGTTTTATTTAATTTAAAACATTCAATTATTTTTACTTTTTAAGAAAATTTTACATGAAACAGTTATAAATGAAAATATTTTACATTGATTAGATTGTAATTTACCTAACCTGATCGATTTGGTTCTATAAGTGAACATTTTTAGAAATTAAGAGGTCCTAAGAAGGGAGGTGACATAACCAAGGTCTGTCATAAACCTGGATAAGTGATGTTCTACATGAAATTTACTTTTTAAAACTGATTTTACTACTAAAACTGAGTTTTGATCTGAGGCACGTTATGCAAAAATGATGAGAATGAAATCTTAAGATGTAATACAAAAGTCACACCTTTAAAGCTGCCCACTAAATCACTAGATGGCACCATTTTCTCAATCACATTTGCCCATTACAGTTTTCATTAAAGAATGTAGAAGTTGCTTTCATAATTTTGCCCTACCTTTGAATATTTGTATACATAAGTTATCAAATGTATAAAATTCTTGTGCATCATGTCCCGGTGTTTGTATTTGAACTCCTCCATAAAGGCTCAACTGATTTTCGTGAAATTTTGTGTGCATATCTGCCAGGGTGGAGAATCGGACATCTATTTTTTCTTCCCCCTAAATGTTAAGGGTGGTCCACCTCTAAATTTTTTATATAAATTTTTTTGTTTCTATTTTTTCATGATACAGCATACAAAAATACATACATAGTCGCGGGCAGTAGCTAGTATCTATATAAACTTGAGTTCACTGTTTTGCGAAGGGCAGTTTTTGAAACGATGTTTTGATTTTATTATTCAAATTTTTTTCTTTTGTTACGCCAAAGCAGTATTACTTCTTACATGTGTACATAAGTACACACAAACTTTTTTATATTGGTTATAAGATTACTGGACTAACAAATGCATTAATTAGTCCTGTAAATAGATTAATAAAATGTATTGTTTATACACTAACTGGTTTAATAAAAACATGTGCAGTAAGTAGACAAATAAAAATATATTATTCATACACTAACTAGGAGTGAGGCGTATTTATTGTAATGGATAATTGTATCAGGTATTGAGATAACCGACTGTACCTGTTACAAACAAACTTAAATAACAGTTCCTGTTCGACACAAATTGTTCCTTAACACACTGTCACAAGCTTTTCTTTATTCTTTCTTATGACTGTTATCTTAGTTAGAGGCGGAGGATAGAGGTAAAAACTGTTACACCATTTTACAGTTGTTACTGAACACATTTTCACTGTCACAAGCTCTTTCTTTTTCTTGCATCAGTCATATAGCTTACAGTATGTTACCCTATGGTAACAGTTTCACGAATTGTCACAGCAGAATGAAATAACAGGCTGTTATTTTGTAACAGGCGTTTATCACTATTACTGTGAAGTAACAGGAGCAGGTGTAATAGGTGCCCGTTTTAACCTACTCACCCCTAATGCAACCATATAAATAGAAATAAATAAATTATGTTTACACTTACTGTTTCAATTTGTACAGCCTTGATATACGAAATAATGGTGGCTTTAGCAGTAAAGTTAGAAGTTCAGTTTTAAATATTCAATTTTATATATATGTAATAATATAAATACCACCAATAATACTAATAATATTGTTCAGTTTAAAATGATATATGTTTTAAATAACATAATGACAGCCTCTGTATACTCTATAATTTTGTATAGGTTTGTCACTGAACCACAGCTGCTATAATTAATGTTTAAGATATAATATGGCATTTTGGCAAGGCATTATATGTTAGAAAAGCTTTCCTTTTTTACGTCAAATGCCCTTGTTGTCATGCCTTGATGACATTATGTTCCCATTAAAGTGTCAGTAGTAATTACTGTCATATTCAATTATTGTCAGACACTATTTAACTATGGTGTAAAATTTATTTATATGAAGTGTTGAACTTTTTCAGATGACCATGAAATTTATTTAAGGTTATATGGGGCACTTGGAGACAAACTAATAAATGATGATACAAAAGGCCCAGATTTGTCTGGCATTACTGAAATGTTACGAATGGTAATAATTATTTTTGTCAAAAATACTTAACATCTCCTATTACCTTTCAATAGCTGTTTGTAGGCACCTCAATGTATTTACCATACACAAAATGTTACAGAGCACACCCACACCTTTATGAAATCACTTGGATGTGTCTTGATTCACTGTTAATTGGGCTAAAAAAGATCTTGTGTGGCATCTGCATTTTAATAATTTATGAAATTTCCCTTTTTATATTGTTTATAATTCTTTATCATGGTTTCTCTTTGACAGATCACAAGTTATTTAGTAATTAGTGTTATTATGTATACAGCGCTCCTAATCTCCACTTAAAAGAAAATTCTTTACTTGGCTCCAAGAGACAAGAGAAAATGTTTGTTCACTTCAACTTGAATAGTTAGGCTCCCAAGGGCTTTAGGCATCCTATTATGTCTTTAAAAAGGTCATAATTATGTGATTGCCATTTAAATTGCTAATATTTACGTTATATGAAAAAAGAAACGAAATTGCCAATTACTTTAAGTTCCTTAAAAATGTACTAAGACTTATATAACATTTTAGGTAGACGATTACCATTGTTCCAATAATAATAAAGATGAAGCACACATTCTTCAAAGTTGTAACAAAACTGGAATTGTAATAACCAAATTAAACGTGGATATCCCAGAATATATTCCTGAAAATGCCAGCCATAAAGAAAATACAAAAGTTGAAGTAAATACGGAAAACAAAACGAAAAATGGTAAGATATCTAATATAGAAATATTAGGTATTGAAGAAAAAGTTGATCCTGCAAAGGTAAAAGAAATTAGCATCAAACTTAAAAATAAAATAAGCAGCCCATCTAAACCAACTTGTTTAAAAATGAAGAGGGAAAGAAATTTAGCCATAGCATCCCTTTTAAAGTTGTATTCAAATACTGAACCTGTTACTGATGAAAAAGTACCCAGGTTAATAACACCTCAACACTTTCAAAAGACATGTACAGGTGAGCCATCAAATGACATGACTCAGAACTCAGAGTTAAAACCGTTACCAACTGGACCATCCCCACAAGTGAACGAGATCAAAAGTGCTCTCGAAATCGCCGAGAAGGCGAACAGCGCGAATCAAGAAGTTGAAGAATCTGTTGCAAAAGTGAACAGTTGGTTGAACAAGGGAAACGACCACCTGCCGTCGGCATCCAAGGGGCCTGCGTTGTATTTAGGACCAGTGACGTTCAAAAGGAAGCAGGCGAAGAAACCTAAATCGCCAATTTCGGAAGCATCTGACAAATCCTTGAATAGGATGGTTGACACTTCCTTTGTGCCGTCAGAGTATGCAAGCAAACTGACGCAGAGCTATATGGACCGTGTCAAAGCTAAAGAGGACAAGTCCCTGGACATATGGGGGAAGCTGGAGAGGGATTTGAAGGCTAAAGATGAAGAAGTCAAGTCAACCAGACGCCAACAACAGCTCGCCTAAACACACAATGAGGGAGGGAACAAACAACCAGTCAGAGTTGACACTACAGACTGAGAATATTTTGATTTGTTTGTTATCATACATATACATCATATTATAAGGATACTGAATAGCAGTAGTGAAACTATTGCAATTATATAATCTTCCTAGACCAAATTAATTCAGTGATAATTCATGTAATTTATTTTTATTTAAAAAGACAATATGTGCTAATATAGTGCACTTTGTGCATATTTTATGCATATCAATTTGTAGCCTAAATTTTAAAAGATTTTAATTATTTTGTTATATTGTTTTATGTAAGTTTTATTATTCCTTTAAAAAATGTTGCAAAGAAGATCCTGTGACCATAAGGGGTTTGTGGAATAAGACTGCATTTATACAATTTATTGAGTAAATGTTTAATAAGCCTGAATTAATAAAATGATTTTTATATTTTTAACCTTTTTTTATTTTTTGGAAAAATGTAAAAAAAAATCTTTAAACTTTCGAAGATTGCTGTTTAATGAGCCATGCAGACTTATGGCCTATTTTTTCCTTTTGTGGTTTAGAAAAAAAATTCTTGCCCTTATTTTAGGATACCATTATCCTGAGTTGTAAGGATGTTTTACAAACAAATTAACCGTGGACAAACCGTAACCGTGGTAGGATTCGAGCCCACGACCTCCGGCAGCGTATCCAATTCCTCGACAATTGGGCCACGGATTCATCAACCTAGGGGCTGTTTATTAAAAACGTGAGGCTCGAAAGCGGGCAAGAGGGTTTGGCAAAAGTCATGAAATAGGCCTGCACAAAAGGACCTGCGTTGTATTTAGGACCAGTGGTGACGTTACAACGGCAGCATGCGACGAAACCTAAATCGCCGATTTCGGAATTTCACATGTATTTCTTTTTTTATTATTTTTTGGTTAAATGAGCAATTTCTGAACCGAAAAGCGGCTTTTCCTTGCCTCGCCGTTATATTTTTATCAATGTCCTTAATTTAGTACTAAAAAAATACACGTGATTTTTGGTGTGGGTACTCTTAAACCTCGGCACATGTCACCAAGGGAGAGGAGGGGTAAAAATGCTAAAAACCACGTTATTACTATACTACTCCCTATATCCCAATATATGAATTTAGGAAAAGTTTAAATTAAGACTTTAAAACATTTCCTGTATATTATAAATTGATCTCCATAAACATCTTTGAAGTTATCCAAATACTAAAACTATGTAAATTTTTTACGATGCACGACCTCCAAAAAGCGGAATTTCACGGAAACTAACACAGCGAATGTAATCACTACGTTTACTCGCTTTTTTACACACTTTTTGAAGTAAAACTTCTTTACGCGCGACTATGGAGTAACTCAGATTTTTTTTCTGACGAAAGTAACGTCATAAGTATATGTCATATTTTAATATTAATATAACATTTGAATAATCTTTGTAAAGCACATGAATAATAAATATAATTAAATTGTAATATGATTTATTTTTTATTTAAGTTAATATTTAATCATTTCAGTGATATATGCCGTCAACGCCAAAGAAGTTTTGCTTCAATCGCGCGTAAAGGTTACACGCACACACTTTTTTTTCATTAAACAAACCACATTTCAGGAAACTATATGTGAACTATGATAAACTTAGTTTTATTTTGAGTACCTCATGTCCCACCTATGACGTGCTAGAATTCATAACTTGGACGGATACATAATTTAGATGCATGAAAGTAAGAGCAACTGCTGGCATGTTATATATAAAACCCATAATATATATATGTTATGGGTTGTATATATAACATGACAAGGGTTACATATAAAATCAGGTATGTTGTTTGGAAACTGCAATAATAAAATTATTAAATAATTGTACGTTATTACATAATTGTACGTTATGAACGTATAAATGCATCAATATCATACCTGGCTGCGACGATTTGCGGCCAAGTGCGGAACGGTAACCGTGATTTTTCAGTCTGTGTATATTACCGTGAAGAGGACGATATTAATGGTAAGAAATGTTTTCCGAAAAATCAATAATAATTTAATTAAAAATATTAGCGGCTAATTTTGATGGGCAATCAGGTAGATATAAATATTCTCCTATCCCTATAAAATATTCTTAAAATTTAAGCAACGAGTGTTTGCTTTAAGTCTCGATGAGTGCACTAATTCTGAGGCCGGATCTTAGACCATGGCGTGTAACGCACCTGTCTATTCGTGCAACAGTGAAGACTGTTTTGTGGCCCTGCCACGTATATATTTGGTATTCTTGTATATATACTTTAATATATATATATCGCGCATATTCTCCGCAATCACTTGGAAACGCTTCAAGTAATTCAAAATATAACCCGTGATAGCTCAGTGTTCGGAAGCTTGCCTTTAATTCAATATACTCTAGCAACTTGTGTCAGATTCCAGTGCCGGCACCAATAAAATTGTTAATTTTAAGTGCTCCGCGGTGAAGGAAAATATCGTGAGAAAACCTGCATATTTTCGAAATAATAAAAAATATTTAGAAGATATGTGTAGCCCGCCGAGATAGTGGGGCCACGTTGAAGACTATGCCCTGATACCCTCTCTATTGAGGAGGCATTTTCCCAGCAGTGGGACATGTAATGTATAGGCTGTTCACTTTAATTCAAAAATGAAAACCCTTAGTTGCGCAATCGTGGCACCTCGGGATTGGATTGAAATAATTATGTATTTAGCCTACCTCCTTTAAAGAAGCGTTAGGCATTTAAACGAAAGATTGCCGTTCCAAACTTTGCAAAGTGATGTTGCATAATATCATTACATGGTATAACAAATGTAAAGGGCTGGATTACGCAATACTTACATATTACATACCTTTTTAATTATTGCAAAACTCGAACCGGATAATAGTTATCTTTTCTAAATATTAAATATAACGCTCCTTTTTAATATAAATACATTCAGTAAACATCCTTTTTCTAAAACTCATGTGAAAGAAATAAGAAAAGAAAACATTTTGGAAAAGACTTCAAAATGGAGTGAACTCTAATAGGGCAAACAGAGTACCCATTACTTAAAAGTATGAGTGGGGGCATTCCACGTAAAGCGAACAGGTAAAAAAAGTTGATGTTTCCGATTTTAGTAATATAATTTTGAATAAGTTACATTACATATCTCCTCAATCCAGACAAAATATTTTTAAAGTATAAAACGTAGTTTATGATTAAGAGAGCTTTAAAAATTTCACTAACCGGCAGGTATGCGCTACTTTGAATTCCATTATCCGGTATTAAACGATAAATGGAAATAAATGAAGTAGTCAAGTTTATACTTAATGTAATGAGCTTTCTAATTGCATTTTTGGATATAAAAATTTTTTTGTGGTTTGTTTTGTTCAGAAGCCTAATATTAAGTGTTTAAATTGCTACCAAAACCGTCATTTATCCTATTGCCATGTGAGTGACATGAAGATGTTACTAGGAGTGATGCGTATTTATCGTAATAGGTAAATGTAACAATTATCTGAAGATAACAGATTGTACCTGCAACAAACTTAAATAACAGTTCCTGTTCCACACAAATTGCTCCTTAACACGCTGTTACAAGCTTTTCTTTTATTTATTCATGCTTTCGATTGTTACTGTTACCTTAGTAAGAGATAAAAACTATTACACCTTGTCTCAAATTTTTAATTTGTTAGTGAATAATACTATCACTGTCACAAGCTCTTTCTTTTTGAAGATAAACTTCTTTACGCGGCAGCATATTCTCAATCACATTCGCCCGTTACAGTTCATATTAAATTAATTCACTTTCATAATTTTATTATTTATATCCTATTCCAGTCTATTTATTATTTTATTCTCATTAATTATTTAATGAAGCCATAGAAATATAACTTTTCAGGAGAATACTTATGTACACGCACTTGCACCCATTTTTTTCTTACATCGGTCTTTTAACTTTGATAGACAGTTACAGTACCTATGTTACTCTATGGTAAAGTAAAAACTTAATTCTTCAAATCAAATTATAATCTGTACTGATAATGTTTTCTTTCCTTCAATCAAACAAAATAAATAAAATAATATTGTTGTAACAATATTTAATGTAAAATGTAAGTGATAATTTAATTTGATACTATTGTTTTATTAGATATTGAATGTGTAGATACGAAACGTAAAGCTATGGCATCACAGTGGACAAATAAACATGAGATTATGCGAGATTTGTACGAAGTCCAAGGGATAATTCCTCCCCATATTCTTGGTACGATTTATACAGACGCTAAACCCTTAAACCAACATATAATTCAAGGTACGTTAGACATTGGACATAATCTGAATTTAATTCAAAAGAAAACTTACAATGTTTGTCAGTTTATACTAAACAAATATTATTAGGGATTATTCCATTTATGAAATATGGTCACTAAACTTATTCTATGGATACAATGAGTTTATAACAATGATGTTTGGTATTCATAAATTACTAGCTGCTGCCCGCGACTACGTCTGCGTAAAATGGGCTGAAGACGTAACATTCAGACAGATATACATAAAATATGTTTATAAATTATAGCCTATGTCTTATTTTGATGTATGAGCTATGTTATTGTAAAGTTTCATTAAAATCCATTCAGTAGTATTTGTCTGAAAGAGTAACAATCATCCATCCATACATACAAACTTTCGATTTTATAATATTAGTAAAGATTAGTAAGGATGTATTAGAGAGATAAGTACTAATTAATGCTCTATAACTACAACTAGTGACAATTCCATGTTCAATGATATAGTAAGACCAATATTTTTCTTCATGATTGAAATACATTAAATTCAGATATGCCGTCAAATCAAAAACTTCAAATTCAGATCATGATCACAAACTCTGAAGTGTTTGTAATCATGCAAATTTAAAATCCAAATAAAAGTCAATAAAATGTATCATATAGTTTTATTTAAGCATGTTAAGATTTGATATCTCCCTATAGACGCCTAGATACACATTTACTTCAATTGTTTATTTTACATAATATGTTTATTTTTTATGTAAGAAGATGGCAGGCAAGCCTATATTAAGTAATACACCCATTGATACTTACAATTCCCGTAGGGTTCCAAATGCTCTGCCATCTTTGAATAAATGTAAATTTCACTTTTAAATTATATTGACCATACAATGTTTTTTCATTATATTTATAGAAAATGAAATAGGCCATGTTGATAACTCTTGTGAAGATGTTGAGTTCAAAAGTGGACCTGACTTAGAACTTATCAAACAAATGCTGAATATGGTAAATATTTTAATCCTCAATAAAATTTCTGAAAGGTATATAGTAATTGATAATTTATAGTCAGTAATTTGTCTTTGTGGTTAGCACTTTCTATCTAATCCATCACCGACAGTGTGAAAATATGTAATACATGAAGGTTAACTTATTCAAGTGTGCTAATTGACAAACTACTATTCAATTTGTAGGTAAAACAAACTAGTGCATCTGCAGATAGTGTTTCATACAGTGCAGATAGTGTATTTGAGATAAGCAAAGTGAATTGTCAATATGATGCCAGCGTTACTATTAGGAACAATATTGATCATAAGAACTTAATAGTGCCAAAAGTAAGAAAAATGAGGAATGTTGCTTTAGTATCTATATTGGAAGCTATTTCAGAAAAAAATAATACATTTGAATCAAGTGTACGTGGAACACCAGAGAATGAACTACCATTGAAACTATTAAGACCAGAAGATTTTATTAAGAAAAGTGAGGCTAAGGATAAGATACTAGAAGCAGTGCCTAGTACTGCGAACACAACAAAAGCAAAAATAAATAGTATTATATTTAAGAACAATGCCGAAGTAAGTGATGTTACTGAAGGAAATTCAAAGACTGAAGTAAAGCAATTTGGTAGCTACAAGCCTTCTCTTATGGCTGATTTATATTATAGAAAGTATCTAGAAAGAAGTAGGCTCAAAGAGAGTATGCATAATAATTTGACACATGAGAGTAAGAAAATAATCAATATAAAAGGTAAATATTTATAGTAATTTATAGAATTAATGAAAATAATTTTGCCACAATATACATAATTTTATTTCTTATGGTGCAAGGTTTTTCTGAGAGTTTTCAATAAGTTTGACTGATTTATGTGATCAAGATGTATGCCATACCATATATATTGCAAAGATCCAAAGTAGAGAAAATATACATGGCATTATAAGAAATGAATGATGAACTAAGTATTTAAAAGACTATTTAGAAAATTATTTACTAATTGCTTGTAAACACTATGTTATGCTACCCCAATCCTTTATATTAATTATTAATTAATTATTTGCAGAACTGGAGGCGGTTTCTCTACCACAGCACAGACATCTGCTCACAGATGATTGTGTTGTTTGTAAAGTGTTTTGTAAAAAGTATGTTAAGTAGCGTATTTACATCAAGTTAATTGATATATCTGTGAGACACTTATTTTTTTAAAAAGAGAATTTGTATAAAAAAGGGGAAAGCAGGTCTGTTTTTTGTAATTTTTTAGTGTACTATAGTATTATGATAAAATTATCCAGTGATATTTATAAGACAACATTTAGCTGTAACTATAACAATAATTGAAAAACCAACTGTGAAACGTTTTTTTAAAACATGTTTTGGCGCCAAATATCTGCCGTTTTTTTTAAATTTTAATTTATCCAGTGACAATCGCGCATAAACAGAATTCTAAAGATACATCCATCAAAATCGGCTCAGTCCTTTAGTAGGTAGGAGAAAACATAGGTATAAATATAAATACAGATTTAAATACAGGTCATACAAATAATCCTCATTTTAGGCTTCGCCGGGTAGATATTACTAAATAAATATTCAAGTACTCATTCAAATTCAAATATCTGTATTCAATATAGAAACATTAGACTTATTGATTGTCAAAATATTTCCTTCTTGTATCTTGTATTAACTGATGTTTTTGCTTTCAGTCCTGAGACTATTAAAGCTTCATCTGACATAGAACCCGTGGGCTAGCCAGAACCCACGGGTTTGGGCCCTCCGCTGTGGGTAGGGCCGCGCATGTGCTCATGCGTGCGTTTAACTATGGTGTGTCATCTAAGGGCCATCGAGGTTTCGGTTCGGACCAGGACCCCGATGGTCCAAAGTCGACTGTGTTTTTAGCTAATCGGTGGTTGGGGGCGGTGAGAACCGCCCTGGAACGTGGGTGTACCCGTTGTGTTGGTCTCGCCGTGCTCGGAGGCGAGGGCGAACTAGTGTGTTTGTTGTTGCACTAACTGTGGGTGTAGTGTTATCCGGCGATACCCCCGGCGGTGGGTCCGACGGTCTTTAAAATATTCGCGAATCGTCGGGAGTCTGCAATCGCTGTGCAGGTCGACGTTGCGTTGATACCACTGCGCTCCGGTTGCGCGGCGGATGAACTTATTTTGTAAGTTGTACAAGCGAGTAGGGTGCGTGTGGGCGAAGGTCATGCATGCGTAGGACATAATAGGTCGTACGCAGGTCTTACATAATAATAATTTGTGACTTAAGGGCATTTTACTTTTAGCGTTACTTAAATTGTGAGACCGGGCGGAGACGAACGCGGCTCTATTGCGAACGTTATTAATGTGCGTAGTAAATGACATACGCAAGGCGAAAGTGACTCCTAAGTATTTGACCTATTTCTCCCAGGGGAGCGGTTGGCCATAAAGGGACATTTGCCCCAACTTTCTGCATTGACGAGGGCCATTATAAAGATGTGACGGGTGAGTACTACGTGTGAAGTGAATCGCCACACTCTTTTCGGGATTTATTTCTATTCTCCATTTGCGGAACCAATCTCCGAGGCGGTCGGCGGCGCTTTGGAGTCGAGTGGTTAGTATTCTAAGGTTGCGGTCTGAATAAAAGAGCGCCGTGTCATCTGCGAAAAGCGCGAGATTGACGTGGCGGTATTTATGTATATCGCTCGTGTAGAGCGTAAAGAGCAAAGGTGAGAGGCAGGAGCCTTGTGGTACGCCCGCCGTGAGGCGGTGGCTTGTGGAGAGGGGGTGCCTTCAACTCGATATCGAAAAGAGCGGTTCGACAGGAAGGTCCGGATGGTGTGTACGAGCCTATCTGGCACTTTGAGTGAGTACAGCTTGTAAAGCAAGCCGTTGTGCCAGACCTTGTCGAATGCTTTTGCGTCATCGAAGAAAAGAGCCCCTGTACTAATATGTTTAGGGTGATTTAGGCCTTTTAGGATATGTTCCGTTAGGCGGAATAGTTGATCGGCAAAATACTTCTACCGGTTCCGAAAAGAAATAGGTATATTGGCCTGGGAACATTTTTTTTGCAATTATTTAACAATAAGATATTAACTGACTAATATGGCAATAACCACAAAACTTTCCTTTACAATTTTTTTTAAATTTAGCAGCTGTAAATTTTCTTTATATTACGTTTACATAGTTCCATTAAAAATTTATTTATTCTACGCAATCTTGTTGTTCGTAGAAATAATTCATGTTTGTTTCTAATATTTAACTCTCATTACTGCATATTTATATATTTTTCAATAAAAGGAAGTTCTTACGTTGTTTTTTTACTTTTTCGTACATAATATGATTATATTATGATAAGTAAAAAATAACAAAATAAATCCTTATACCATACATTCAGTAATATTTGACATTGACAAGGAGTTTTAGACATATTTTTTATATTTTTGTAAGGCGTGATGAGCTAACGGTCTCTGTGTGAGCTACTCTCGTTATTTATATGTATATAAAGTGAACCAAGTTCAAATCTTATTGCCGACAATTATGTTGTTGATGGATAGTTTTGGTTTTTTTTCTTATTCGAGAGTGGCCCTCGCTTGACTGCAGTCCCACCTGATGGTGAGTGGCGATTCAACCGTGGATGGTACGAGGGCTGTTTGGGAAGCCGTTTTAAAAAGTAAAAGATATTTTTTTTAAACAATTTACATTTATTTCTCAATAGTCATAGTCTCCTTTGAGGGCCAAACACTTGTTCCAGCGAGTTTCCATTTTTTTTATCCCCTCCAAAAAATACGTTTTGTCGAGTTCTTCGAAATAGCCTTTTACACCTGCGATGCAGTCTCATTTGTCAAAAAATTTTGCCCTCCAAGCCATCTTTTCAGATTTGGGAATAGGTAATCATCGCACGGAGCTAGGTCCGGCGAATACGGATTTCTCCTTCGATCGGTCATTATCTTGAAGAGGAGACACACTTCAGGCATGCGTTAGTGCCATGAACAGAATCAAGTTTAGTTTTTATTGTGGCAGCACTGCAAGCCTTCATGTTGTTGGTTTTATAATGGCACGAAATTTTGATTTTTCTATCGTTGTTGAAAATTTGAACATTAAAACAATGGTTAAACCGACAAAAACTTGTTTTTTTTTGCTGAATTGAAAGATTGTGCCTGCCAGTGTTATTCCATTTACCAGAAAAAAGGTTTTATAAATAGTTTTTAAAAGGACCCATAAAACAGCCCTCGTAAGCGTGCCAGCTCAGTAAAAACCTATTCACTCTAGCCATGGTCTTGACGTTTCTAAAGTGACGCTCTCATCGAACCGGTTGATAAAGGGAACGAAATTATTTCGGACCCAACGTGGTTCTACAAGGTCGTGGAAGAATGTTTTCACAAGCGCTGTGCCTTGATGAAGCTTTAAAGTCTACGGAATGAAAGCACAAACATCTACCATGGCAAAGACAACGAAGTGTTATCGCCATTTTGTAGTGAAAGGATTAGCTAATCTGTTCTACCGATTAAGCTATCCTCGCAGATTTTTGCCCAGGGTACGCTGGGCGCATGGGGGTTATATTATGATGCATTGCTTGGAGAGGCTCCTTTCCTGTAGCCCCTTTCCTTTCCTTCGATCTGGTATAGGAAGATGCCAGAATAAGTGAGTGAAGTGGGGTTTCTCCAACGACAATAATTTCACTGTGGCGAGGTTCAAATTGCTCCCATGGCCCATCTGCTGCAATGTCCGTGGTGTCCCTCCTCCTGCACCTACGGAGACCTGCTTGTAGCCAATTCTGCTGCGGTGGATGTGATCTAATACTGGTCGAACGAGATCTAAACAGCTATCTTGACTGGAAAAGAAGAAGAAGGCAACGAAGGTGCGAATTTCCTAGGCCAATTTTCCGAATTTACCTTTGTCGTGAAGGAAAACGTCATGAGGAAAATGCCATGTCTAAAGTGTATACTTGAATTATTAATCCGCACTGTGTCGCGGGGTAAATTATGATGCCTCAACTTTACTCTTAAGTATGATTTAGGGCCTAATTGTATGGAGAACTTTTTTGACGATTTTTATATATGTATTCACAGTCCTAAGGCGTTAATATGTACTGGTTGGCATAGCTGCTAAAATATAGATTTGGTCGTAGATACTCGTGGTTTTATTCTTATACTGAAAAATTAAAACACTGGGTGTTTGTCCCCGTGAAGTATATGTATGCACGATATTAGGGCCACGCAGCTGCCTCGGCTCTTGAACGAATGGGCAGGCTCGTCCGGGTAAGTACCACGACCTCACAGAAGACCGGCGTAAAGTGAAAGTATAATACTTTCGCGTTTCGTCTGGTGAGTGAGGTGGCCGGAGCCCAATTTTCAAAAGGTTGTCAACGCATCTGCAACCCTCGGTTGTAGTAGATGTCCGTGGGCACCGATATTCACTTAACATCAGGTGAAACGTTTGCTCGCTTGGCAACACTTCACATAAAAAAAAATTAAAACGTTCTTACAACACAGGGTAATCCTACAGTAATCATTGTAATGACCTGTCATACGTCAATCAAAACTAGAGACGAATCAACAACTGTGTTAATGTTTAAAAATTGTAGAAAAAATTATGAAAAGCTTTTTGCCGCTTGAGAAATCGAACCCAAGTCATCGGTATTCGCGTCGAGACGCTTTAACCACTAAGCTAAACCGATATTAAAATTTATAGAAAAAGTTTGATGTTAATGCGAATAAGCAATGTAGATAAAGCCGTTTAGCTTAGTGATTTGTGTCTGGGCGCGAATCTCGAAGACGTGCGTTCGATTCCCTTAGCGGCGAAAAGCTTTTCGTACATTTTCTACAAATTTTAATACATCATTCATTTTAAGTACAGAGATTGGCACTATAAAAAGTTAAATATGTTAATGATGATTTAGCCAAGAAGGGAGGAAAAGTTGAACGCAATAAAATGCATAATTAATCCATGATAATAATGGTATAAAATTGTAAAGCGGCGTTCATTTAATCCTACGACTAAATTGCTTACTCGTGCTGAGATTAATGCAATTGTACAGTTTAAATGTTTAAATATGGATAATGTTTGAACGTCAGAAGTTATAATTTATTTGCGTGTCAGTAATGCTAACCTTTCTGATATTTTTGATAAATATTAGGATAAAGAAGTACTAAACTCGAATACTACACATTGTAGAAC